AATACCTCCGTTTGGACTTCCACATTATATCTGGATTCTCAAAAGTTCTCTATATCTTTAGTGAGTTGCTCTATTCTCCTTTGCATCTGGAGCTTGGGTCATCCTAGGAATTCTTGATTGTCTCATAGCATGACTAATTTGGAATTAGAACCGTTGGCAAAATTGACGAGTTTACTGTTTTAGGCTTAAATCTTAGCGTACGGAATTTTTTTGGATAGTAAATTAGAGGTTATTGAACTTTTGCTTTTGCTGGAACAAATAGGTTATGGGCTCTCTAAACCTTAAAGACTCCAAAAACCTACTCTAACAAGAAAACCTTAAATAACTAGGTAAAAGATATTCCTATGTATTGTTGGAAACCTAAAAGAAGTACCGTAGGGTTTAAATAAACTTAATCCTAGCCAACTAATGTTCAAGTCCGATAAGAAAAAAATGTAGTTTTTATATTTTATGTTTTAGATTGAGCCCCTATTTGACACACATTAAAATTTTCATTTTCATTCTTCTATCCATTTTCAACCACACATTCTTCAATAAAATAATATTTTTCATTACATCAATAAATTTTCCTTCTTTTTCAACCACACATTCTCCATCAATCTACTATTTCAAAATACATTCTTCCAAAATAATATCCATCAAACACATCCCGAATTCTTTTTCCTGCATCGCTTCTTCTTACCTCAACATAGTTTGAATCTTTCCAAGTCCGAAGGTCTTCAGTATTCAACTATTTGCATTGATGAAGATCTACAGTCATTGCACCAAAGCTCATTTACAGATGCAGATACTTGTTGCTTATAAGTATGTATGCTTTGCTTTTATAGTACGGACATTGTAGACATTCTCATAACCTGGATTCTGTCCATAGAATAGTTACAATTAGCTGAAGAATATAAGTTGTCTTTCGATTACTAAGAGAATTACTGCAAGGGCAATTATCTGCTATCGATTTTTACTGTCTTTGTTATCCGGCCTCCTCTTTTTCCATTTGCAAACTTTGTTTTTTTGACATATTTTAAATATTTGTATGTAATCTGAATTCTGTGAT